TGTGCCCAGCAGTGGCATCCATTATTAAATCGATCCAGGGTAAAGGAAAACTATTCTTAGGGCACGCTCGGTTGAGATCAGTAAGTCTAAGCAGAGTCGCCATTTGTCGTTGGTTTTCCTGCCAAGAACCACATTGGCCAACTAGATAGGGTAATCTACTTCCTTGATAGCTCTAGCGTGAAGAAGCTTGCCGACCTCCTCATTGATTGCCTTCTGACGCTCTGGGGAAAAACTCCTTTGCTTCTGCTTAACGGGCTTGCAGGTATAATTAAAACTCAGCTTGTGAATGATAACCGAGGGGTCAATGCCTTCCATATCTTCTTGTTTCCAAGCGAACACCCCCATATTCTCCTTCAGGAACAGGATGAGAAGGTCTNTGCTTCTGCTTAACGGGCTTGCAGGTATAATTAAAACTCAGCTTGTGAATGATAACCGAGGGGTCAATGCCTTCCATATCTTCTTGTTTCCAAGCGAACACCCCCATATTCTCCTTCAGGAACAGGATGAGAAGNAAGCTTGCCGACCTCCTCATTGATTGCCTTCTGACGCTCTGGGGAAAAACTCCTTCGCTTCTGCTTAACGGGCTTGCAGGTATAATTAAAACTCAGCTTGTGAATGATAATCGAGGGGTCAATGCCTTCCATATCTTCTTGTTTCCAAGCGAACACCCCCATATTCTCCTTCAGGAACAGGATGGGAAGGTCCTTAACCTCTCTACTNTCAGCTTGTGAATGATAATCGAGGGGTCAATGCCTTCCATGTCTTCTTGTTTCCAAGCGAACACCCCCATATTCTCCTTCAGGAACAGGATGGGAAGGTCCTTAACCTCTCTACTCAGTTTAGTCCTAATGTAGACGAGATGTTCTGGCTCTTCATCAAGCTGAACTGGCTCCAGTTCTTTCGTTGGCATTGGCCTGGCGCCTAGTTCGTCCCTCATGTCCAGCTCATCTAGTCATATGTTTTCAACTTCTTTCTGTTTCATCGAAGTCAAGTAACATTCCCTTGCAACCCGTTGATCTCCTCGGACCACTCTAACTCCGTTTTTCGTAGGGAATTTCATGACCAGATGATAGGCTGAGGGGATGGCCTTCATTGCATTGAGAGAAGGTCTCCCGAGCAGCATGTTGTATGCAGAGAGGGCATCAATCACTAGGAATCTTATTGTAGTGGTTGTCTGGCAGGGGGGTCGCCCATAATGAGCACAAGCTGGATTGAGCCCAGTGGCAACACCCGTTCTCCCGTAAATCCCAACAGGTGAGCATTCACGGGCTCCAACTTTTCCCTTCCTATGCTCATCTTGTCAAATGCGGAAACAAATATGATAACTATTAAGCTTTCGTTATTCATCATAACCCGATGAACAGTTCTGCTAGCCACAATAACCCTTACCACCAGTGGGTCGTCATGGGGGTGTTGGTATCCTTCCAAGTCTGCATCTGAGAATGTGATGTCTGAGCTCAGCCGTGGTGCCTTAAATACAAGGTACACCTCCAAAGCCTCACCAACTCTAATTCTGCGTAGGTGGACTTTCCTGGCTGAACTAGATTCCCCGCCTATTGTAAAACCCTCTGATATTACCCTGATCTCTCCTAGGGGTTGTTGGTGCTGCGCAGGAGCTTGCTGCTGAGGTGGTGGAGGTGATGGGGCTCGATTCTGATTCTCCTGGGCTATGTAACGACGCAACTGCCCTCGTTGGATCAAGAATTTTATCTCCTTCTTCAACTGAATGCTGTCATCAGTATGATGACCATGGTCCCTGTGGTACTCACAGTACTTTGAGGGGTCCCTTTTCGCTGGGTTCGCTTCATCCGAGGTGGCCACCTTAGGAATTTTTTATTTTGTACTTCATACAAGATTTGCGATATTGTTGTGGTAAGTGGGGGAATCTGTCGAGGTGCGTACCTCGGCTGCAACTCCGGATTAGGTGGTCCCAGACGATCTCTGACGTCTCCCCTTCTTTTGGGGCAACGATCTCTCTCTCTTCTTGGAGATTTATCTCATCCTCTCTCTCTTCTAGGACTTCGGTCCCTCTTTTTCTCCTCTTTCCCTTTGTCTTTTTGCATGGATGAGCTCCCCACTTTTGAGAGTAAAGCTTCTTCACAGTTTATGTATTTTTCTGCCTTGGCCAGTACTTCGGCCATGCTAGCCTAGGGATTTTTCGAGATGGAGAACATCAGGTCTTTAGATTTGACACCCAAGCCAGCTACAAATGCAGTAATGACAAATTTCTCGTCTGGGACGTCCACTTTTAGCGATTCCGAGTTGAACCTCTGAACATAGGATCTGAGGTTCTCGTGGGGTCCCTGTTTCACATTTAGCAAGTGATAACTCGGCTTTCTGTATGTTCGAGCTCCTATAAAGTGAGACACAAAGGATATGGATAGCTCCTTAAAGGAGGATATTGAGGCTGGGGGGAGCCTATTGAACCATGCTAGGGCTGAGCCCTTCAACGTGATGGCAAAAGCTCTGCAGCGCACTGGATCCTGGTATCCATGCAACTCCATCTGGTTCTTGTAGGTGTTGAGGTGATCTACGGGATCCTTTGTTCCATCGAAATCGTCTATTTGCGATATTCTGAATTTCATAGAGAAGGGAAAATGTAGCACCCCAGTGGTGAATGGGGATTTAGTCTGCTGTACAAAGGCATCCATGGTAACTGGAGCCCTGCCTCTCACGACTTCTTTCATGTGGTTGAGCTCTTGCTGGATACCCTGGAAGCGCTGCTCCCAGTATTGTTCTCTCCTTTCCCGTTGATAGGGGAAAAAATTATTTCTCTCACCTTCTTCGTTCTGACTCTGTCCATCATCGCTGTGGTCATTCCTGGGGGATATGCGAGGTTCTGGCCCCATGATTTAGCTGTTTTCCCCTTCTTTGTTAACTTCTCTGAAGGGGTCGAGGTATTGTTGCTCCCTAGGTGTGAGGTTGTTCTGGCCTTTTTGAGCCTGTCGTGCCTCCTGTGGGCGTTGTAAAAGCTTTAAAAGTTCTTTGTTTTGTTTCAGCAAGCGTTGATTGGAGAGGCGAAAAGTCTCCATCTCGTTATTCATGGGGAGACCCCCCACTGGGAGATTGGTCTCCTGGACGCTCTCGGGTTGTCTGTTATTGGCAACTTCTTGTTGATCTTGCGCCCGTGACAGATTTGCTTGACTTCGGTTCATGTTTCGAGTTGATACCATCAGTCACTGAAAGATCTGTTTGTTTATAATAGGACCAGTTGTTCCCACAGACGGTGTCAAACTGATGGTGTATTTCAACGTGATGCAATTTTGTGATGACGAGTAAATGAAAGAAACAATATTAAAATTATTGGGATCTGAGCTGCTAGACTCGAGAGAATGATACTGAGTTGGGGAATTAACACAGTAGAAATATAGTGGTTCACCAGTTAGGGAGCTCGACTAATCCACTCTTCAATGAAGACTCTTGCTTTTTCTTTCACTATGTACTATACCAAAAGATTTACAGAATGTAAGATGTGATACTAGAGTTCTCGCCCCTCTGTTGGGGGCGTTACATAGTATTTATAGGGGTGACCCTTAATCTATAGGATTTGATCCGTGATCCTCGCCATCTATCCGAGAAATTCTCCTTGATCTTAGGAGAGTATCTTGGTTGGTTGAAGATTTTGTGTCTTGAGTGTTATTTCAAATCGTCTGTCGAGTTCTTTGTAGTATCTAGTTGTTTCCTCATTGCTTCAGCTTATTATCTTACTTGAGGGGAGCTCTAGCTCTGATTTTCTGAGCTCTGCATAGCTCTAACTTTCTGAGCTCAGCATACCTGACCTCCATGTTTGACCTCTGTTCCCAAGCTCTTACTCGGGAATCATTCTGAGTATCATCAGTATGTTTTTGCAATGGTTGATGCCTACTGTTTTTGGAAAGCATCGCCTTTGGATTTTGTTGTTTCAATGAATACAGAATTTACCTTCCAAAAAAAAAAACAAAAAAAATGACAACAAATCCATTAATTGCAACCCGAGTGGGTAAACATGCTAAGAAGGTTGTGTCTCGAGTACTGAAGAAAAATATGATGTCATAGCTCTGGTTAAGAGGTCATATTGCTGGGCAAACATTACTTTACCCTCTTGTTTAGTCCCTTTGCACTACATTCCTTTACTATCCAATTCAAAAATAGCTCTTTAACCCTTATCTGTCATTGATGACACTGATAAGCAACATTAATAACCTCCTCTTCNCCTCTTGTTTAGTCCCTTTGCACTACATTCCTTTACTATCCAATTCAAAAATAGCTATTTAACCCTTATCTGTCATTGATGAAACTGATAAGCAACATTAATAACCTCCTCTTCTTTCTTTTTCTTCAATTTTCTCAGTACTCTATGAATTTCTTCACACTGTTCGTCTTCTTCTTTTCTTCTTCATATTCTCTCACTCAGGCAAAACCATAATGTTCACCACTTAAATAGTGTTCGCGGATTTCCATTTCAACAGAGTACAGCATTTTCAACCAGAAAGGAAAAGCGGCCGTCTTAGTAGAAGTAGCCGTAACCCAATTCCCATGCATGGTTGAACTTATCGTTGTTATTTCGCTTGCAATCTCAGCACCAAAAAGGATTGCAATGATTGTTTGAGTTCTGCTGAATTGGTTGTTAGTATCTATGATGATGGTACAATGTTTTAACTGATGTACTTTTAGACAGTAGGAACAGTTAGCTAGGAGCCCCTGTAGTAAATTTCATGAATAAATGGATCTAGCCTACTCTTAATGAAAAAGGGGTAGAGAATCACTAAGTGACGGTTGAGAGTTTAACCAAGTTTGTGCTAGTTGGACATGAGTACCTTGGTAATGTAATAACTACGGTGATTACTAGATCAACATGTAGTGATTGTTATTGCTATCAGCTAGTCATGAAAATTGTTGGTGAGGGTCGAAAGCAAGCTACTGGATGTTACAACATCTATTTTGTATTCAATGACATTGTCATATAGATGTTATGGATTCCACAATTTGAAGATGCAATTGAAGGCAAAGAGGGAAGATTTCTCGACACTCTGCTTGTCAACGTGTTGATTATCAATGCATCAAGTAATCCAAGATCATGCCCAACTTATTCACATCCGTGGTGTAATGCCCAAAGACATAAGAACACACTCTCTTTATCATATTAACTTCAGATGGAAATATGTTAATCACTACTTCAAAATATTCTGTAACTTCCCCCTCCCATTATACAATAAGATAGCATCATATATACTAGTCCTGCACTGGTTGTCTTCCACTGCTCTAGCTGAAATACTATTATGTATTGTCTTTGGTTCCCCATATCTTTAGATTCTCACACTCCTTGCCTCAACGTTCTTACTGCTTTGCCTGCATAACAATACATCAGCATATTTCTGTGAGATTATAAAAAACAAAAATTTTTGGTACTAAAGTTGAAATCGAGGTTAAAATATCTCACTTTTGTTAAGCAAAATTTTCAGAGTTTGAGAGCTTATCGGTGAAAATGAAAGATTTAGTACTACCTCATCTAATAACTATCATATTGGAATAATGAGGTTCGCCAGTCCTATTTAATGCTTTGTTATTGATTGATGATATTATGTGTCAACGATGACGTAGTATCACCGTTATACTCAATATTTATTCCTCTAGTAGGGATATAGTAATGATACACGGATACAAATAAGTTACAATTTTCCCCACTTAGTCCTAANCAGTCCTATTTAATGCTTTGTTATTGATTGATGATATTATGTGTCAACGATGACGTGGTATCACCGTTATACTCAATATTTATTCCTCTAGTATGGATATAGTAATGATACACGGATACAAATAAGTTACAATTTTCCCCACTTAGTCCTGAGTGGAGATGAAAATCCAGACCTCACAACATAGACCATGAATGTGTTATGAACTGTAAACTTCAGTATTACAAATGGGTAAATGAAATTACCTGTGAATAGAGGAAAGTCCCCAAGATTGCAATGGCAGCTCCTAGGGCATTGACGGGTTGAATAGGTGTGTGGAAGATGATAATGGAGGAGACAATGACAGAAATTCTCTTCATTGTATTCCCAATACTAAATGTCAATGGTGAGATCTCGTTTAAGGACATGTATGAGACTTGATTGTATAGGTGGTAGAAAACACTTTGGGCCACCACCCACCTGTTGCAATTCAAAGCCACAAGTTCAAAGATTGTTTTAGTATCATGCGAAAGGAAAATCTGAAAGTATCAATTGCCTTGCTTTGATAGCCAAGAATCATCTCAACCACGTCATATGAACTTAGATTGCACGCAATCACTCAAAAATCATACATATTAGATCAACTAGAATGTCTCCTACGAAACTCAAAGTTTATAGTATTGACTACTAAAGTTCTACGATAACGGGTTAAGGTATGAACATTTTGATTTACTTAAACAGGGATAACTTTGGTATGAGGCTAGAGGAAAACTTAAGTCTCAGAAGTTTTACTAACTTAAAACAAGCTCTAGCTAGTTCATGGCATGCATAAAGTTTATTAAATGACATTCTTGTAACATTGAAATTATAAAATAAGAGGTTTAAAATGACATGCATAACCAGCTTGAGCATCTATGGAATAATTAAGAACATCATCACTAGAACCAAATATCTCATCTATAAAAGTTAGATCTGGAGCGTTGACAAGTATACATCTGTCCAATAATACGTCAAGAGTTCGAGTCCGAAAATCAATCTTTTAAAATGAGGATGAAGCTATCTACCAATTCTCTCTCAGATCTTATCACGGATTATAGTCTTGTACGCTAAGTATGAGATGAGGACATACGTTTTCCGTTTCGATAGGTAGATAATAAAGAGGTCTAAATTGCTGATATTAGCTAAGAAACCAGGAAATTAAAAATAAAAAAGAGTCAGTTCTTGTGTCCTACCATATGAAATTGGGTCCAATCTGGGAGAGTGCGTTTTGCCATCCAATTGCCCACATCTGAGGACCCTCCACAGCAATTGCAAAAGGGGTGAGAATCAAAAGAGACATCATTGACAGACAAGCATAGTAGTTCATTCCACCCACAGACTTCCCCTTCATGCCTCTCTTTGAGAATATGTTCCGGAATACAAACGCCAAATTTGATATCATGGCCCCCATAAACCCTGAAGTAGATAAACAGAACACCTCTCACAATTAACTAGCATCAATTATAGTATTCAAAATTGTCTTGATCTTGACTCATTCAAATTGTAAAACGAACTAAATTTGATCAAATTTCTATGCCCAACTCGATTCAATTGGGTTCTGGTTTGTATATAGTTGTAATTTATCAATAACCAATCCCAATCCAAAAGACTAATAACCCCAAACTTATCCTCAAATATGTTTAGGCCATCTACATTTTCCAGCCTCTTCTCTTCTTTAAGAGATTTATAGAAAATTTAAACTTCTAAGGTATGTTGTGATAACTGATTATATATATCTTTTGGAGATTTTTTGCAGAGAAATTGGTTGTTAAGAATTTATTAAATTTGTTCTAAATTTTAATTTTTTGATACTCTTTGCTAAAATTAAAGTTCATTTTTGCTCAAGTTCAGCTCAAATGTTTGCAAACTTCTGATGAGTACTACTCAACCAAAAACTAAGCATATGATTATACTAAAACTCGACAAACTTAGCCCCGATTGACAACCTTTACTTAAACATCTTGATCTATTTTAAATTATAAAAACACAGACAAAGATACCAAATCTAGAATTCTCATCTGAGAAAGCTTAGTTCAGTTTTTCAGTCTCACCAGTGATGTTGAAATTGAGCTCAGTCACCGCAGCAACTGCACAACNCTATTTTAAATTATAAAAACACAGACAAAGATACCAAATCTAGAATTCTCATCTGAGAAAGCTTAGTTCAGTTTTTCAGGCTCACCAGTGATGTTGAAATTGAGCTCAGTCACCGCAGCAACTGCACAACCTCCTATAATTGGTAGCAGAGACAAGTAAACCGGCAATGGAAAAGTTTCACCCAGCAGAAAACTTGAAACCAGAACAGTGAAAGCAGGTTCACCACTCTTGATGATGTGAGTAAATGAAACTGCAACTTTTGACATGCTCACTGTGGCAGCCACATGCCCAATTGTATGTGCCACTGCAACCTGAACCACAAACAATACTATTCCATTGTAAGTTGGTTTTCAAGAACAAATTTTAGTCATGGTTCATTATGTCAATATGTATCAGAGCTATTCATCACGTCGAGTATGAGATTAAACCCATGTCGAGTTAGGGAAAGACTGACAGGCTGAATTAAAATGTCACGACTTTATGCATGGGCATAGTGTTAAGTCATTGAACTGAACGTGTGAGTGAAACTGTCAAAACATGTTTTTTTCCGCTTTTATGAAATTTTTTGCTGTAATTTTCCAAAGGTACCTAAAACTCATTATCTACTTACAGGAAACAGAGTTTTCCAGAACTGGAAATCGGTCTTTGGAGGTTCAGCAATCCTTGAAGCCCATGAAACCAACATCATGAGAGACCCAGCAGCAAGAGACAGAGTTGAAGTGAGCCATGGGAATGGAAAGGCATTGAGGACCTTCTTGTTGTAAATATTGAAAACTACATTCAAAGCCCACCATGTTGCAAAGTACACACCGATTTTAAGTCTCTGAGCGGCTTCTTCTCGAGCTTTTTGGTCGAATTCTATGTTAATTTGTATCGGTTGTGACCGATGAGCTTCGTAGGCTTTGCATTGGATTAAAGGATATTGAGGGTTTGAATCTTTTGTATCGTCGAAGAATTTCGCACCTGTGACTGATGAGATGTAGAGAAGTTTTCGGGCTAAAAGATCGACTTTGTTATTTTTCAGAGCCAGATGTTTGAAGGGAAGAGATGAGATATGAAGTTTAGATGCCAAGAATTGTTGTTGAAAGTGATCAGAAAATGTGGAAGTTGCATAGGATTGCTTTGCATAGCAAGCCATGCTGTGAAGTGTTTGGCCAAAAGACTTTTTGTGTGTGTGTGACTGGAGGTAAAGTTTTAGAATAAAGTTATGCAGCCTATGCTTACCCCTATTTATAGCATTTCTTGAAAAAAGGGGGGGAAGAGGGTTGGGGTTAGGAACTATGGGGGGGGCAGCATGGAGGCCGACCTCTGGAGCCTGGGAAGGTTGGCTGTCAACAGCTCTCAAGAGACGGGCTTAGAGCATTTTCAATGATATTTAGCCATATTGTAGGTGTAATTTAATACATTTAGCGGTGTATTAACTGAACTTTTCATTCGGTTGAAAGTTTAAGTTTTCGAGTACATTGAAGTTCAGTGATTGACTGCTATATTAGCATAAGTAACTTCGTTTTCAAGAGGTGTAACGGGCGTAACTAAAGACCTTATAATCCCATCAATGAGAGTCTATCAAAATAAACTCTGGACACTCTCTTTTGCCCCTAGTTCTTTTTTATCCAACAAAAAAAAGTACATTTTATTTTGTTAGAGTATAAAATGTTATATTTTTGTCGTATCCATCCCAAACAGAGAAATTGGACATGTCTCAAAAGTTATATTCAGAAAATATATATATATTTTTTTTATTCAACGGTTAGAAGTGTTCGGATTAATTTATGCACACTTCGATTAATTTTCTTCTCGGTCTAACCAAAGACGAATTCACGCCGGAGTTAGAATATTAATGAGGATTAAATCTCTCATAACTTATTCATGCACACGAAAATAAACGATCAGATAATATTAGCAACAAATTGAAAATTTTAAGGACAGATGTATTGAAATTGTTGATCACATGTCGGCATTAAACCCGAAACTCCTGGCGGAATAACCCATTTGCAAAGGCAAAATTTAGTGCATACTTTCAAGACCACCAATGTATTTTTTATCCAAAACATTGTTATTTCTATTTAATTCTTTACTTTTGCTTTTTCATGGTAATAAAACAGGAAACATTATTCACTAGAAACCCAAGGTGGGTTTCAGGCCGGAGCAGTTGTATTTTTTTTTTCTTTGGAGCAGTTGTAATTCTCCTCTTTTTTTGTTTTTTTGAGTTAATGGAGAACAGTTCAATTATGCTTGAATAGAATGTATTTTAGATGCACGGAATCATAAACTTTTTCGAAGTATAATTAGTAGCCATGTCTCTAACTACTAAAATATAATAAGTACGATTGCTTTGATAATTAATGGTCTATTAAGAAATTATATATAAAAAATTTTAACACTTTTCTGGTAATGAAGGAAGGAGGATGGTGTACGTGGGTCTTTGGTCTAATAGTATTCATTGTTTTGTAAAAATTTTGTCTTCTTAAAATCAAGGGTTCAAGTTCCCTTCCATTTCCCCTTTCCCCTTTCCCCTTTCCCCTTTCCCCTTTCCCTTTCCTCTCCCCCTCCCAAAAAAAAAAAAAGTTGTATTCCTATATTCATTTCAAAATTTGATCGACCGTAGAAGATTTTACAACTTACACCATAGTTTTCATTTGAACAAAAATCTCACAGTTCGAAACTTGGAAATTTTCTTAAGCCAATTTATTCCTCATGAAATTTAGTCCTAACTTAAATGACTTATCTTTGACCAAATCGGTCCAAAAAATAATTAATTGAGATATGCGTAAGTTAACCAATACCAAAAAACAATTTTACATTACAGCACCAACATTGCACAGCAATCGTCCAAGTCTCTATAATGTTCCTGAATAGTTGAAATGAAGCTCTGGCAACTCGTAAACATCACGGTCATCCGTCCTTTTTGCGAGCATGGTGTGATACACATGTCATCTCACACACCGCATGTTAAATGCATCTAGTATACATGTTTTAGAATTGTTCAAAACACAGTAACTTCCATGAACTAGCAGGATACCGTTAGTTCGTCAAACTTTGATACTTACGATAGCTTGAGCCGCGTCGGGTCCATATCGTTGTGTAAATTTAGTTATATTATATGTAATTTTGCTATATAGGTGGATTTGTGTCTTGTGAATTCTTGTCAAACATTGTTTTATTAAGTGGGTTTGTCAGGGCAATCAATTTTTTAGGGGTGCAATTTGGGTTGGGTAACCTGATTTCAACCCGAGTCCAATTCGAAAAAATTAGGGTTTCGGCAATGATTTTTAATACTTGGGTTGGACTTGGGTCAAAAAAACCTCAATCCGAATTTAATTTGGTTGAAGTTATTGGTTGTTAATTTAGGTGAATATTATGTAATAGATGTGTTGAGAACAACAAGCATATTTTGAACTCTACCCGAACTCAACCCGTAAAGTAACCCGAAATCAGTCTGAAATCATTAAGCCGAATTCAATCCGAGCCCGCCCGAATTAAACTCGAGCAGTGGTCGGGTTGAGTTTTTCAATCCGATGGTAGAGTTAGGGTTAGAGTTAAAGACTATATACTTAGAGTTGAGCTAGGGTTGACTACCCAACTCGTCCAACCCACCCAAATTACACCCCTAGCAATCAATAATGATCTAAACACATATTAATCCCCTTTTTATGTATCCGATCGTGTTAATTATTGTCAACTCTTATAATGCTTTCCTTTGGCATCATACTAAAAGAACCTTCGAACTTGTGGCTCTGAATTGTTCAAAAATTGGGGATTGGCAGCCCACATTGTNGAGGTTTATTTATTTTAGAGAACACTCTGACGACCTTTCTTCCATTTCTCGATTCGTAGGTCATTCTTCAATGACGAGGGTATCCTTACTTAGGGTCTGGTGTTTGAAACCTTTATTTTTGGCGGATTGTGCCTTACATTTACCTTCCCTTCACTCTGGTGTGAGATCCGACCTTTTGATGGGAAAGTTCATCGTTTCTTCTTCTGAATCAGAGTCTGTTAGTGGGGAGGCCGAGGAGACCACCACGGCTTCCTCTAGTGAGCGTTTTCTTTTTGTTGGCGGTGGAGCTCCTGAGTCTACTCCCGGAGTTTCATCCTCGGTGCCTCCAGCCAAAGCTACGCCTCTTTCCGCCCTACCTCCTGATTCTCTGACTCAATCGAAGAAGAGGAAATCTGGGCCGGCTCTGCCCCCCATTTCTAAGAAGCGAATTCATCGTGAGCCATCTGACCTGACCTATTATGCGGAGGGGATCTCCAGCTGTCTTGGTGATGAGGATTTGGAGGAATTGAGGCGTGAGTATCGCTTTCCTAATTTTGTGGAATTGCATACCCCCGGGAAGCATGAAAGGTGTAATTCTATTCTCACTGGATTCACTTGCTTCTTCGAGTTTGTATTCTGGGTTAGTCTTTGATTTTCTATCCATCCTTTTATCTGGAATGTTCTTGGATTCTATAACGTCTGTCCAGCCCAACTGTCTCCCAACGGTTGGGGCCTCCTGGTTGGTTTCCTTGTCCATTGGTTTGAGAGTGGAAACCTCTCTCTTCCCTCTATCCGAGAATTTGCTTCCCTTTTTCAGTTGAAGTTTTCTCTCTCCTCAGGTTTCTTGTATTTTGCTAAACAGGTAAAGGCGAAGACTCTGATCTCTGGGCTTTCGTCTTCCAATAAAGGATGGAAACCGAGGTTTTTTTTTTTTGCTAGGGGCAATTCCTGGGAGTTATCAGGGAAGCCTGACGACATTCCTCGTGTTCCAAGATCTTGGGGGTTCCAAGGAATACTCGTAAGACTAATCTATCGGCCATGTTCCTTTTTGTTACCTTCTCTTCTTCTTTTTGTTTCTAACTTTTGATCTGGTTTATAGAATTCTGCCCAGTACTCTCCACAGAGGAGGCAGCCCGAGTTGCTAGAATTGAAGCATTTGGGTTGAGGGATTTCTTTAACTTAGTGACCGACGAAAACCTTGCTAAACACGGGCTAGGACCACCCATTATCCGAGCTTCAGAGGTTGCACCACCTTTTGCCTCCCAGTCGGGTAACATGGACCAAGATCTAATCATGGCGGTGTTCTCAAATACTGAGCAATCGAGAAAGAGGAGGAAATTGGTGAAGGGAGCTCAGCTTCCACCCAAGGAGGCATCGGCCATTGGGCCCACACCCATTTCTTTGGAACAAAAAAGTGAAGTCGTTCCTCCCAGAGGGGATGCTGCCGTGCCCCTGCCTTCTTCTGCACTTTCCAAGGCAACACCTGCTCGGAGGGGGCTTCAGCAGACAAGCTCGACTTTTCGGTCCCCCATTCTGCCTCACCCGAAACAGTTTCTCTAAATGGTGAAAAAGGGAAGTTCTCCCCTTCTAAGTCTAAGGTGCATGGGGGCGGCTTTCTTCACGATCCCAAGGCGACAGTAGCTGCTCTATCAGAGCTAATCTCCACATTAGATCCTCAATNCAAGATGGCTGATTTAACCTATATTCCTGTGTTTGCCCCTTCGAGCATTTTCCTATGAATCCTGGGGCTATCTTGGTCTTTTCACACATCTTTCTCTGTACTCTAGACATAACGGTTTTGTCTGCTAAAGAACGTGCGCCGCTAGTGGGGATAGTGGCTCGTTGATCGTGACGCTTCAGTGATCCCCATGACACCGCGTGTTCCTCCCTTAAATGTGAGGGACGCGCATTAATTGTGTCTGGCTGAGATGATGGATGCACGTCAGCTGGGGTTATAAATGGACATTTTTGGGGAATGATTGCCTTGCCTTGGGCATCAAAACTTTTTGCTTTTTTCATTGTCGTGACTCTTCTTCTTCAGTGCTTTCAAGGGAAAATATTTTCCTTATGTTTTCATGGCCAGTGTCCCTTTCTCTCCTCGCGACGCTATGGAACGTCTCTTTCTTGATGTTAANGGGCTATCTTGGTCTTTTCACACATCTTTCTCTGTACTCTAGACATAACGGTTTTGTCTGCTAAAGAACGTGCGCCGCTAGTGGGGATAGTGGCTCGTTGATCGTGACGCTTCAGTGATCCCCATGACACCGCGTGTTCCTCCCTTAAATGTGAGGGACGCGCATTAATTGTGTCTGGCTGAGATGATGGATGCACGTCAGCTGGGGTTATAAATGGACATTTTTGGGGAATGATTGCCTTGCCTTGGGCATCAAAACTTTTTGCTTTTTTCATTGTCGTGACTCTTTTTCTTCAATGCTTTCAAGGAAAAATATTTTCCTTATGTTTTCATGGCCAGTGTCCCTTTCTCTCCTCGCGACGCTATGGA